CAGAATTTATTCTGAACTCACCCCTTCCTTCTTGGCGACGATTCTTGGTATTCTCCTTGTCTAACATGCGGGCTGAACGCCTGCGTCGAATTTAGAATTTCAGCTCGGCGCGGTCATGTACAATAAGCCGTTTGGCGCAACAAGCCGTATGAGTGCACCACGTCGAAGGTTCGCGGGCCCGGTATGGGAATTTTAGCTAGAAATGTTTGGTTTTAGGTCCTACGCTCAGCAAGAGTGGTCTCCGCTCCAAATGGTGCCGTCGTCGTGGTGCATGGGCCCCATCTTTACTGGGCTCATACTAAGGTGTTGATTTTCTTTTGCTTTTCCTGCCTGCTAATTTGATTTGGTGTCCTTATGGATCCTGTCGCAGGATAGACTCCCGGGATGAGAGCAAAGGTAAGAGCGAATAAATAGGTGAGATTCTCATGCACCTTTCATGCGAAGTTTTCACCGACAAATCCATCCATAGCTACTCGATTCATGTTTTTGAGTCGCTCCACATCTTGTCAATTTTTGTTCCTTGAGGTTTGAGTTGAGGAAGACGCCTGCATTACAGTTCTCAGCTTGGCAGCCGTGATGCCGGAGCATCAAACGAGGCAACACAGCCCACACCGCCACATTCTCTTTGTTCTTCTGGGCATCTTTCTTCTACCTGGTGATGCGCTGGGGATCAGTCTTCTCGATCTCTGGTACGAAGCGCGTTGAAATATTGTGCACCTTGCTCACTATCACACCCGGGCCCTAGGGGTGAAACCATGGACTCGCAATTTTAGGTCGTGCCACCGTGTCGTGCAGTACGTTTTCGTTCCCTCACATCTATTTATTTTCTCGTCGCGTTTTGGGTTGCTCGCGTCGCGTTCTGGCTCGCTCAGGACGTGTTCCGCCGCACTGAATGGCTCGCTGGGCCTTACCACAGGCCCTATGGCCACGCATCGGCGGTGCGCGTCTTGGGAAGGAGCGACCTTGGACTAATTTCGTCCGCGTTATTCTGCTTCCTCCTCAAAAATATCCTCCTTCTAACTGATGTCTTAATTACACCAGGATGTTGCGCACGACCCGGAGCGGAGCCCGGTGGTCGCCATGGGACCTCGACGCACTGCGCGTGCCTTCCACCAATGTCGACACCCACATCGACGCATCCCACCGGAGCGCTGTCGCGCTCGCGCCTTACATCCGCGATGCGATGGATCGCGCGGATGCGGCCGCGACTCGCGCGGAGGCCTCGCACAAACTCAATGACGACGCCTGGGAGGACGAGGACGAGGTTCCCATCTTATCCAGACCACCAACACCACTTTCTTGAGAGCCGACACCGTTGGAACTTGAAACCTGCTCCCGCTCCTCATCTCCCCTCTCAGACCCCCCGCCCACACCTCCCTCAAGCCCCCCCCCTGTGCTCTCCAGTCGGGAACAGCACCAGGCTGACGGGAAGCGGGCTCGCAGTCGCAAACACCGTGTCACAGAGGCTCAGGCGACGCGCTTCGGTCCGGCTCCCAAACCGAGGCACAGCCAAACCTACTGTGAGCTTCCACGCGCGTCGGCTGCCTTCACCGGGGCGGACATCCGGTCGTCCTCTGGGGGCGGTTGGATAGGTGTGCGGCCTGCGAAAAAGCGCCGACTGTCGCAACCCCAGCCCCGGAAACTCCGCGAATTGCTTGCTGATGGTCATGAGTTGGTTGAGTGGGATGGGAGGTGCGTCTTTTGCTTCCATTAATCATTACAACTGACATAAAATTGCCCAATCTGCAGAGACCCCAAGTTAATTGTCGACGCCGACGGCCGGATTGTCGCAATCCTTCTAGGACGCCCAGAAGGGGAAGACTGGGACCAACTGATTGCTCTGTACCAACGCTTGATGGATGCGGTTCGCCAATGAGGCCGCCGACGCGGACTTTTCAAGACGCATGCCCGACGGCACCGACGCGGGGATTTTTATGTGATGCAGAGCGGTTTTACGAAGGGGCCGGGACAGAGGGTTGGTACCTTTCCCTGCCTATTGTCTACCTCGTACTGTGAATGCCTCCTGAATTATTCTTTGGCGCGGCAGAGGCCAGGGAACCTGTCCCATTTGAAAAAATATTGGCAGCTGCTGCAGCTGATTCTTGGCCATCTCGCCACACGTCGGATCGCCGGATTCCAATCTAGTTAGTCCCCTATGCGTGGTCATCGCGCCCTGAGCTAACTGCCTCAAGGTGGTCTGGCTCGATACTTCCCCAAGTTATACCAAGATTACAAGGCAACGATGGAGGGCCTGCTACAGAAACACCCGGACCTTCAGCTCCCTTTCTCCAATTCGGTTTTCCCCACCGCGACCTTCAATCTCGGCCCCCAGGTAGTAACTCCGGAGCACCTCGATGTGCTCAACAACCCGCATGGTGTTTGCGGCGTGACGTCGGGTGGCAAATACAATCACAAGCTCGGAGGCCATTTGTACCTGAAGCAACTGAAGTTCGTGTGCGAGTTTCCATCCGGATCCACCGTGCTGTTGCTTTCCGCCGCATGCGAGCACGGCAATACTCCCATCCAGGCGGGGGAGACCCGGTATTCTATGACGCAGTACGCTGCGGGCGGGCTTTTCCGTTGGGCGGCGTACGGATACCAGTCTGAGAAAGCGCTCCTCTCCCAACCCAACGGGGCGAAGCTGAAACATGATATCGATGGAGGCCGCGCGGCCCGAGCGCTAGGGTTCTTGTTGATGGCGTCAGAACTGGAGGCGGATCGCAAAGCTGTTTTCGGTATGAAATGATTGATTGGAACCCGCGTTATTACTCCCTGTATCTGTTTTAGCTACCGATAAATTCCAACCCCGATTTCTTGGCATTCAGTGTCGATGAGTAGCAAGCATGAGAACCAGGACGCCGTCAGGACCGAGAACGAGCTCGCCGTCAAGAAAGTGGACGAAGAGGAGGAAGGCAAGCATGAGTGAGTGTTCTCGGCTGGTTATCTGGCTGCACATGTGTTTAATGGTCGGGACGCTTAGAGGGTGCGGCCAACCGGTGAACATGTCGGTGGACGACCTTGCCAACCACATGGCAGAGGCATTGCGTGCGCGACTCGCTGCGCAGATGCAAGAAGAAAAAAAAATCCCGGCACCAGCCACGTTCAACTCTTACAAACACGCTAAGTCGTGTCTCACGGGGTGGTCTGAATCCCTGTCCTACGATGGGGAAGGTGTCGAAGACACCTGGGCTCGGAACGCGAGGTTGCGGGACTATTTGGACAGGATCAGGTGGACTCAGGCTGAAGAACCCGGTATGGACTGATTGATTGGCACACATTATAACTCCGTATGCTTTAGCTACTAAACCATTTCCTTCACCTTCACCGTCAGTCAATGAGTAGCACGAAAGACATGAAAGAGAACGATAGCGGCGTCACGAGCTCCGGGAACGAGAACAAGCTCACGGGCAAGCAACCCGATTGAGGGAAGGAACCCAAGAAAGCGGGGTGAGTCTTCGGTTTTGGCCGCTTGCCTGTGATACACATGTGTTTAATTGCGGCTTTTTTTGGTAGAGAGGGCCCCGGCTCCTCGACTTTAAACGCTCACTCACATATGGATCCAGTGCAACTCAAATTTTTGAGTCGGGACAAGTTCGGGGTGTGCGACGGAGAGAGGTCGGAACGGGAATGGGTGAGGGAGGCGGAATGAGGGATGGATAAAACCACGGGGGCCGCATCGGAGCTACGCGAGATCGAGCTGAGATGGCACGAGATTGCGCCGATTTGCGCTAGCATAAACCGCGTTCTCAATAATAAAAACCCCGTGTTCGCTTCACCTTGTAACATGGACGTCGACCCAGTCTTCCCCAAACCGAGGAAGGGATGCGTTTTCACCACAGGTGAGTCCCTCCAAATGATGGGTCAGTAGAGGCTGAAGGTGTCTCCGCAGATCACGTGAATTGGAGAGGCCCGCCGTCCGCGATCATAACCCCCCAGCCAGGCCCCTACTCGCCCAGCGAACGAGACGCGCGTTTTCGCGTGATGATGGCTCAGCGGCGCGTGATAGAGCGGGTGGGGGGTTACGGTCGGGTCCTGGACTACATTGCTGTCCTCGCGGACGTGCAGGACCCCGAGGAATGCAAGAGTGCACTCACGAAGGCTCGGTGTGCGTGGGTCAACCTCTAGTGGCGTCAGGCGGAGAGGCTCAAGGCGGAGCGGACCCGTGCGCATCGCGCCCTTATTGACGTGCGGGCTCGTGCCGAATACGAATGGAGGCAAATTGGCCGCCCTCCTCCTCCGCAGCCGCACAAGATTCGAGCGTACCCTACACGTGGGCACTGCAACAAACGCACGGAGCCGTTGACGGAGGCTGACCTCTACCTGGACAGTGCGCGCCCAAATGACATGTGCATCGTGTCTTTCGAGCACACGTGTCATCTCTGCCTGAACAGCAAATCACATCCAGTGAGGTGAGTGTTCAGGCTGGTGGGCGGTCGTCGGGGACTTTAATGATTGCGCGCAGGTTTCGCTGTGGACATAGCGCATGCTATGTCTGCATTCGTTTGTTGCTGGAGGAGGTGTGGAGTTGCCCGCAGTGTGGCGCGGATATTACGAGGAAACCGGTGGCTAACAACGTCGAGGAGGCAGAGATCGCCACTGGGAACGGGAACTGGGATCCCAGCACAGTCAGCTATGCATGGGATGGCCTGTTGTTCCCGCGCCGGCAGACCCTGTAGTTAGTTACCTACAGCGAAATGTGTGTAGGCGGCCCCAGGTATGCAATTGCCAAATGTCGACCTCCACATAAAGGCGAGCACCCAAAGACTCGTATCAATTAATTCCCTTGGCGTGTTTCTTGCATTTTGTTTTTTTTTTTTGCGGAAAAAAATAAAAATAAAAATCCATGTTATACCTCGGGTGTGAATCAAGCACACGATGTCTACAGTAAGAGATACGATAGAGAGCGCCAAAGTTGCTTGGTCAAAAAAGGGGAAAGAGCCCTTGAAAATCATTGGGCAAGAAACGGAATATGGTCAGTCGGCGATCCAAAGTTTTACAAAGATTCGGTGGCGGAGTGATATCGCATCCACTTTACCTTTGGGTGCTCAACTTTACTGTGGAGGTTGCCTGTTTGAATCAGGCCCGAGTCATGATTCTTGTCTCATAACGTTTTTTTCTACAACAATTTTTGATAAAAAAAATTGTACAAGGAAACAACCAGGTTTAGAAAATTATACCTACACTGCCTCTACCGAGAGCTTGTCTAACAGTTTGTTTTTTTACCTCTGGCTAATATGCTCTAATATATCCGCCCAAAACCACCCCAAGTATAAGTGGTTTCCTTTTGCGGAATGGAATTGCATCGCCACCCTCACGTTGATCACATGAATGATGGTCGTGTCATTTGGGCCACTAAACAATGATCAATTTTGCAGCATGCTTGCGCCATGAAGAAATGGAAGACGGTGGCCTTCGCGCTCAATGAGGAAGACATCAACAACAGAAGCAACAGCGACACTTCTCAGGACGGCTACGTAGCTCGTGGCACCGAGCGCATTCATTACTCCTTCAGTCAAGACATTACTCTTGCGCAGGACGGGCGGCTCAGATCCTCAAGCAGTACCATGGCCACACCAGCTTCTCCGAGCAAGAGATCTCATGTTTCTCAAAGTCGGGATCCACTACGTCCCACGGGACCACCGCAACGAGAAGATTGGGAGGGCGAGGATGCAGAATTTGACGGCGATTATGGGGCGGAACCGCCGCAGCCACCTCGGGCACAGAGAGACTCAGTAAGTGTTGATGGCAGAGGGCTGTCGTTTCTGATGCCAGCGGAAGGACAACCCAAACGCGCCATGGGTGCGGGACAATCATGAAAGGTTCCTGGACGAGCTGCTCCGCCACGATGGCCGTGGCGATTTCATGTCGCAACCGGGGTGTGCGAGTCCAGGGTGCAAGTCTGCGCCCTCTTACCGTTGCTCGGACTGCTTCCACCTGTGTCTCTATTGTCAAGTATGCGTGACAGCGAGGCATGCGGCGATGCCGTTGCATCACGTTGAGGTATGTACCGGGATTGGATTTCGGTATGGGTAGAAACTCACCCTTGGCCCAGCGCTGGGATGGCGTCCAGTTCGTTCACTGCAGTCTGAAATCCCTTGGCGTTCGTATCCAGCTCGGCCATATTCTGGGAGAGCTCTGCCCCAATCCGTCCCCCGCGAGCGGCGATGATTTCGTTATCATTAGCAGCCACACCATAGATGAGGTGGGACTCGACTATTGTGATTGCACAAGAGCACAGGAGAAGTCGATCCAGCTCTTGCGGCTGCGACTGTATCCGGCAACGGGGACAAACCCTCGTTCAGCAGCGACGTTTGGGGCCCTCCGCCGGTTTTCGCACATGTCGCTGGAATCGAAATGCTCCGCATACGAGTTTTATAACAGCTTGGCGCATGAGTCTAACAACATGGGCTTGGAACCGTCGAGGGTACGTGGTCGCCAGAACTCTGGGGATTTTAATGATTAATGCGCCGTACAGGAACATTACTACGAGTTTTTGAGAATGACTCGCCAGTGGATGCACTTGTCGCTGCTGAAGCGCGCCGGGCGGGGTCACGATGCGGCCGTGGACCGTATCAACGCAACGAAGTCTGGCGAGTGTGCTCTGCTCTGCCCTGCGTGCCCGCAGCCCGGGAAAAATCTTCCAGAAGATTGGGAGCAGGCCCCATTTCACAAAGTGTGCGTGGTTTCCGATTCGTGGCTCAGCCCCACTCACGATTCACATTGCATGCAGATTTCTTTACGCCTTGTTTCTTGCTATTGATGCCAATTTCCGACTGAAGCGGCGGGATGTGTCGAGTGAGGAGCAGGATCCGGGGTTCGTGAGGGAGTGGGCTTTTTTTGGGGAAGTGGGGAAATATATGGCACACCTGGAGAAGAACGCGAGCCAGGTACAAGAGGTGGGTTTTACAGTCACTTTTATTTTTATTGGGCTGATCCGTCATGGCAGAGGAGTACTTGTGTGGCCCACAACGCAGTGGATAAACCTGATCGCGAGTCGTTGGGGACCGCCTCGTCGGGGATCGGTACCGTGGATTGCGCCTGCCATAATATGAAGTGGCCGAACGGGGTTGGTGATTTACAGCGGGGTGAGAAGTAAGTGTTTATATTTACGTTGGAATCTCCCTTGCTAAATCAAAGCGCAGGTACATAAACATGGACTATATGCTGTTCATGAGCCTAATGGCTCTATGCCTGCTACACCTCTAGATCTCTTATGATATCGCCTGCCAGTGGTTCAAGAACCTGTGGACGCGTATGGAGATTTTCAACGAAGACGCCCGGCTTGACCCAAAGCGGACGTTCACCGTTTTTTTGGTCCCGAAATTCCACCTCCCCGCCCACATCGAGGAATGCAACCTCAACTTCTCCTTCAACCTGACACCTTTTGTCGGAAGAACGGACGGGGAAGCACCAGAGCGGGGGTGGGCGGACGCGAACCGACTCGCGAACAGCACCAGTATCTCGGGCCCCGGGGCGTGCCGCGACACGCTCGATGTCCACTTCCAATACTGGAACTGGAAGAAAATCATTAGATTGGGTAAGTGCGTGCGGCGCACCACGAAATAGGTGTTAATTGATTTATTTAGGAACAACGCTGCTGGAGTGGATGAAGAAGGCCGTACCAGCCATGCTGGAGACGCGAGCTACGTGGGTGGATATGGAGGCCGAGTTCGAGCCGTCGGTGATCCAGACCTGGACCGACATGGCGATGGCTTGGGAGGAGAATCCCCAGAAGCCGAACCCCTTTGCTTCAGGGAAGAAGGGGGAGAACCTCAAGGAGATACGGCGGCAACTGGCAGAGGTCGCGCGTGAGGATGTGGATCAGCTGCGCGTGCGCGGGGACATGCACGAGACGGAAATGCTGTCCATGGGGGTACAGCTAGAAGGGCAGCAGTACATATCGTGTTGCAGATTGGGGCCATATTGACTTATCACCGTAGGCGGGCGCTCGCAAAGCATGTCAGGAACGTCGGCCTGCACGAAACGGTGGATCAGCATCGACACCGCCTCGAGCGCAAGACGAAGCTACGCCGGAAGATAGAGGCTTGGATGGCGGTGCAAATCCTTTTCATCCCCGAGGTGGCGCTTCTCCGAGACATGGAGGAGGCCGCGCGAAAACGCACAGCGGCGACGCAGCCGGTCCCAGGGGTGAAGGCCGAGGACGTGAAGCTGTGGCTACCGTCGGCGATCGGGGCCCGCGTCAAGTGCGACGTGGCGCTGCAGGATTACGAATACAGGCTACGGAAAGGACAGGCGGTCGGGGGCCTGGAGGAAATGCGGAATGGCCTGCTGGTGCGGACACACGAGTTCCAGTACCGCGACGGGATCGCCCGCATCAGAGCCAAGACCCGGTCGGGCGCGAGGACTACGGCGATTCAGGGGGGAATCGACAGGGCCGCGGAAGATTACCGCGCAGCGTACGGCGCGCTCAGGAAATTGGGGCCCCTGCTTAAGCGGGATGAGTGGAAGGCGGGGCTCCAGGTCCTGAAAGCGGAGGATGTGCGGGGGCGGCCGAGCGCTGTTTTTGGGGACGATGACCGACGGAAGAAGCGGAAAAGGAGGAAGAGGGCTCACGAAACTGAGGCGGAGGCAAGGGAACGAGCTCGGCGGCACGCGGAGGAGAAGATGGAGATGTCGTGGATATGGAAGGTGCAGGGCACCACGGAGAGCCCGGAGACCGTCGTGGTGAATGAAGGTAAGAGGCGTGGGACGCAGAGGGCAATGAAATACTTACGGGTGGTCCTCCAGCGCTACGCGTCGAATGGGCAAAGACTCGTGCCAAAGCCATGCGATACGCGGAGGTGGATCTCCTGGGGGAGGAAATGTGCCGAGTCCTCGCGTTCCTGCGCTGGCGCGCTGGGTGGTGGAGATCACGAGCAGGGGCACGAGCGATGTTACAGGAGGAGGATACGGCGTTGCGCGAAGGCCACGAGGTGTATGCTCACAAGCAGGCAGGGTATATGGACGGGTTGCACGACAAGTTCGAGGCACAGTGGGGAGGCGTAGCTGCGTTGCTGGAAGACGCGCAGAAGAAATATGCGGCGATGCTGCCAGACGACGGGGAGGAGGACGAGGAGGGCGAGGAGGAGGGCGAGGAGGGCGAGGAGGAGGACAAGGATGTGGGAGTGGACTCAGGCTGGTTGTCGGATTAGGCATCGTACGGGTTTTTAGCGTATTTTTGGCAAATTTTTAATTACAGCGTATTTTCTGTACAAGCGGACTATCGAGATTTCCTTTTCGGGACAGGGGCCACCGAAGGTTGGGCCAAACAGAATCAGACAACGCTGAGCATCGTCGACAACGATGAGCTCGCAAGCGGACGACGAGCTCGCTGCGGCCGGCAACGTTGATGACATTGGATGGCATTTGATAGCAGGGCTACCCCAAACGCCATGTCTTCTGGATGATGCATCATGGTGCTCTTCTGGGGTGAAGCCCAGATGCATCATGGCGTTGTTCTCGTGTGAGTACTTTATGCTTCGTGGCCCCAGTCACAGGTGCATGATCTCGCTGTAAGGAAAGACCAAATTCTTCGAGAAGCTTAAGCGGGTATCCGAATACTTCATGCACCCCGGTCGCGAGAGCGTCCTGGGATACCAGGGAGGTCTCGAGGAGTCCGAACAACTCGTACACGTCCAGGTCCGCGATCCAACCGAGCAAGTCCGTGAGACACTGGAGGACAGTAGCGGGGGTGAATACGGAGAGATGCCAAGCAGGTGGTTCGCCCGCTGGTGCTGTGAAGCTCAACATAGGCAAACCCAGTTGGATACTGCGCGGGGTCTTGCTAAGACAGGAAAGCGCGATGGGCGAGTTCTTCAAGGGAAAGGAACAGTTTAGGCTCTTCGGAGATCGAGGGGCCGAAGGGCGTGAGACGCCGAAGCTTTGGGGTAGCAAGAAGGATTTGGCGCACAAGTATCAGTTGTGATGGGGTTATGAGAAAGGTTCAGCACTTCAACGCTCTCTGCGCCGGTGGAAGTCAAGAGAGAAATGAACTGGCCGTTGGAAAGGGAAAAGCTGGACCAGTCCAACGATTTCTTTTCACCTTCCTGCTGGACGATCTTGGTGAGCAGCGGCATGGCAGAATCGGGGA